TAGTCCCCTGTGGTCTTCTGGTGGAACAGACCTTCGAATCTCTTCACCCAACACTTCCACTCGAAATGGAAGTAAGCTCAACAATACCTTGCACAAACTCTCCCTGACGCTCCGACCAAATTCCGAAAACGAGGTCAAGCCAACTATATTAAGGTATAGGAGGCTCTGACCTTACAGAAGGTCCCGTCATCTTGGTCTTCGTATCTACAATCTAATATGAGTCAGCCTAGGTCAAATCAGGTGACTTGAGAAGTTATACTTGAGTTTTTCCGTAGTATTATAAGTTGGTATCATGATACCATTGAATTTTACAGGACACAAGTGACATTTACGGCAAGCCAGGAGTAACATAACATATTTATAGTGGGATTTTGATTTATTAAACAAGTGTTTGACATTTAGATCGACTACGTTACTTATTTTTGATATTAGTATATTTCGAAGTAAACTAATCATTCAAGAGTTACTGCCGGTAGCGAAAACTAGGTGCATCGAAAAATGAGCAAGGAAGGACGCTCGAAAATTTAGTTGGAGACATATTTCGTAATGAGGCAGCTGACGAATTTACATGTACCCACCTGAGAATGGTTGTGTGGCGTATTCCAACTTCGCCAAGTTGAGCCTTCTTCTTCCCACGATAGCCTAATCCAAAGCTAACTAACTTAAATAAAAATACCACCATACAGTAAGCCTTAACCGCTATTCTTTCTCTCTCTCACTCGCTCGCTCACTCTCTATCGCTTTATCACTCACTCGAACATCTCAAATCGAAATAAAGTGGCACTAGTTAACCACTTCCGGCCACTTTAAGAGCCCCATCAAGATTCTGCCAGGGTACGGTTCTGCTTAAGTCACATTTTCACGGCTTACTCTCGTTTATAAATGGAAAACTATAAAACATTTCAATAGTGAATACATTTCATTTTCATCTTAGAAAGTGTATGTATATGTATATATACATATATTATTTTGTTTAATTTAGCTTGAATGCATGGAGTTAGGGCTTGCATTTTGGGTGTGGAGGGAAGAAGATATGGCCTCGTAGGCAAGTCTGCCTTAAGATCGCTGCAGCAGACAGAGATTCAATGGAGTGAGCTTATGTGCAAGGGGGTCTGGCGCTATCCGACTGGGAACGGGATCAAATAAACTTGAGAACGGAGAAGCGGAAGTAGATGGGGTGAATGCGATGCGGGCAGGAAAAAGAGGACATCGCTGAATATGGTGTTATTCGGGGGGGTGGAGGAGAAATCAGCTTCAAAAGTCTACAGAACGGGCCATCGTAGCAGCTACAGTTGGTGGCAGAGGTGACAGAGCTCAACGGTAGTTCATACATCCCCAGGCGTTTTGCTAGCCGCTACTGACCAGCTCATTAGTTGTCTCCTCTCCCAGAAGACTTGTAATGCTGAAGTCACGCTTGACGGGCGAGGCTGACGAAGTGGAGGAGGGCGAGATCAGTGATGCCGAGAAGAGGGCGTCCGAGGGGAGGGAGCCAGACAACGAGTCGAGGAAGCGACGTTTTCGACTAAAACTGCTGGGCAAATGGTTGAGGAAGCTGGTTTCGGCGGCCTTTGGGGCTGAGGTCTGAGACTCGGGGTCGTTTATCTACAAAGCCCACGTTCAGAAAAACGGAATGGAAAGGCGTAGATGACTTTATGAGACAGCAGAAAAGAGATTAGATCTATTACACAAAATGCCTTTATTTAAATTAATGAGCATTTTTAAAGTACACAATTTCTTTTCTCATCAGAAAACGGAGTCTAATGGGGGCCTAGTGGTCGGTGCTTCAACGACTGTTCAAACAGCAACAGTGGAATCCCCTCAAATGATGCTAAGCACCAAGTTATTGTAGAGAGCCTTCTTTTACATGATTTCCACGTGTTGGTGAAACAGAAAATAACCGACTTAATGACACATACTATTGTCTTGAACGTTGTCAAAAGAAATAATGGGTCTCGGGTTCAACCCATACAGAGGATTAGGATTATACCCTGGCCAGGTATAAACTGTGATCTAGTCTAGGATAGGGGGCAGAGTACAGGTGTAGGGTTCAAGCGATTTTTAGTTCCGATTCGCCGTGCAGATCTTATTCCCCAAGTATTTTTAAAATAAATGACTCAAATGTAAGGTTCGCTAGACCAGAGGTAAATACCACTCAGCTGGCGCAATATTTGGCGGCATAATCGCACCATCAATTTAGCTCATACAACTCATTTGAGGAATTATTTTGTATTTCTGCTATTTGAACTTAAATTCACCCAATTGTATGAATTTGTAATATTGTTTCTTTGTCGAATGATTTTTTTTGGTAGGATGGATTATGCTTGTGTATGCGATTATTGAGGAATAAAAACGGTCTTATATTATGCTTTGGACTTTATATTGGATTTTATATATAGCCTTTTATAAACCAGTTCGACCAGTAAATAATACTATATATAACAGAATATTATATATTATATATATATGTAAAATCGCCAAATAAAGGTATTATATATATCAATTTATGATGTCTACGTTTAACGATGTCTGGAGGCCTTTAATAGCCTCCGACAGCCCGAGGGAAGAGGTGTCCCTAAAGTGAGTTTTGATCGTATGTGACTCGAAAAGATATAAGTACATTTCATGTATTCTTATGTCTTTCCGAGGATTAGTCTTAATTTCCTCCATTTTTTTTAGTTTGTATATTATTCTTGCACTAATTAATTATGTTGGCAGGATAGATTATGGCTATGTAGGTTGTTATATTAAGGTTAAGGTTATTTCATTTATGTAAATTATTGAGGTTGTTTGACCTTGTTTTCGCAACATGGTCATATTGGTAGGAAGACTTATTGGAACGCACCT